GCCAACTATCTTTAGAAAGATTAGGGGTCATAAAGAAATTGTTCTGTTCTTGCACCCTGCCTTGAGCTTCTAAGTGCTCTGAGAGTTGGCATCTGGGACACAGTGATGCCCTCTGCATCAATCAGTGTGCCCCACATTCTTAATCCTCTCCTTAGGAAGACTCATATGTGTATAACAGAAACTAAAGATGGTTTTCAGAGATGCTATACATGGCATAGCAAGTGCCAGTATCCATTAAAAGCTATAAGACGTGGCCAGAAGCATTTCATTCCCCAGCTTTATCTTCCTAAATATCATTGCTTATAGATCATTTTTTAATCAAAAAGAATCAATGATAATAAATAGCAATGTTATTTATGTTACACAGTCATATAAGAGAAGGAAATGAATTGCTATTTTTCTTATGCTTTTACACAATCCACTACTGTATTCGTTCACTTTATTTGATGTGATTATTATCAATCCTCTTTATTGTAACTTTGATTTCAACTTATCTGAGCAGCTTCTGGGATAAATCTAATATTTAAAGGAATTAAAGGGCCTTTAAAGAAAAACAATAGTTCATTCACTCCCTGATGTCCAAGGGGAAATAGCAGTGTTACAGCAGCATGCAAAGGCTGCTGTTTTATATGGGTCTGAAAGACAGGGCTCCTTCTTCCCGGAGAATTTGAATACAGTGATGCCATGGGATGCTCGGCAGTTTTCCACTTGATTTGCAGTCTCACAATGTGATGTTTTGTCTAAATGTTGTCAATTTTTAAGATAAAGGTAATTTTCATCTTATTGAAAAATATCTTAACATTTGTTGACCAAATATACCTTCATTATGTGACACTTTTGGGAGCAACATGTATGACTGAGTGACCCAGACATTCTGGTGTAGGGCTCCTGAATTTTGTTGTGGTTTTTCTCTGGATCTCATCATGCGCTAACCCAGTGGTTTTCAAAATGTGATTCCTGGGCCAGATGCATCAGCATCACATGGGGACTTTAAAATTCCAGGCCCTAAACCAGACCTGCTAGAGCAGAAACTCTGGAGTTGGGGTTCATCAGTCTGTTTTAAGAGAAGTTCCAGGTGATCCTGGTGCATGCTCAAGTCTGACAGCTACTGCCCTGTCACTTAGACCCTCACTAGGTAGCACCATGTGGTTTAAATGAACCACATTTTCTGATGTTGGATTATTGCCGTATATTAAAATTTTTCCTGGGCTCTTAGGGCAAGTCCATACCTTGAAGTTACAGTTTTTGGGTTGTTTTTTTTTGTTTTGTTTTTTGTTTTCAGAAGAAAATGGAGAGTCCTACTTTGAGAACTCTAGAAAGAGGCAGATCCTGGAACTTAGGAAGACACTTTGGCTTGCAGGTGAGTGGAAATTATTTTATCCTTATGGTCTGGTGATTGCTGAGTCCTTGGGGAGGGAAGGGAAGGTCTGTTCCTCTTAGGACAGAAGGGCCAAGGGGAGAAGAGTGCCTTTCCCCAGAAGCTAGGATGTGGCAGAGCAGAGAATTGGTTAGAGTTCTGGAAATGAGACTGCCCATGCAGAAGGACCTCATGAGACCATTGTTAGTAAAAGTGGTGGTAGAGAGACCTGATAAGAAAAAAGCCTGTGTGACAGTCCCTGGGACATTGTCAGGGAAAAAAAAAACAAAACAACGAGAAAATAGTGTAGAGGATAAAGGCAGGCTGGATGCGGCAGGCATTGCAATGTTGGTGATACAAATGAATGTTATACCCACAGCCTGGTGAAACCTAGACATACATTCACACCTGTTAGCCCACCCACTTACCACAAATCCCTTCACTCCTGGTTTGCTGACCTATAATCCTAACTCTGACTGCCTGGTATCTGCTATTCCTATGACTCATAATACACCTACCTTTTCTCTTGGTCCTGGCATTACAATATACGCAAATCAATCAGATATAAAAGGCATGAAATACAATTTCACACTTAAGTCAAGGATATTGTAAAAACAATATTATAATCTCCTACAGTTTTATAAACCAGTCCCTAAAGTAATTAGAAAGTAAAGAAAGCAGAAATCCCACATACGACTTTTGAGAGCGATAGCTAGGCTTTGCCCTTCTCCAGGGAGCATTTGAGAAAGTGAGGCAAATTTTAGTCCTGTCATCAACCTATTAGGCCTCTTTGAGAGTCAAGCATTTTTTAGAAGAAAATATTTTCTTCTCCTTTATCTTGAGTGGGGCCTTCATGGAATTGTATTAAGAATCCCAAGGAGTTCAGAATTAAACACACACACACACACACACACACACACACACACACACACACACACCAAAACACAGACAGACAACACAGCCTCCATTACCTTTTCCATCAGTACTTTCTAGTCTCTCTAACTTTTTTTTAATCCTCACCCCAGGACACTTTTCCATTTTTTGTTCAGATAGAGTGGGGAGGGAGAGAGAGAAACATCGATGTGAAAGGGACACATTGAGTGGTTGCCACCGAGGTACACGCCCTTAGCAGGAACCGAACCCAGGCCTCCCTGGACCGCAGGCTGATGCTCTACTGCTGAGCCAAACCGGCCAGGGCTAGTCTCTCTAACTTTTATCTCCCATTCTCTTTCTGATCCCAAGAGACTACTCTTAGACATGTGTTATGGGTTTGCCCTCCAGGCTGCCAAGACGAACATGTTGTCTGAGACCCTGACTCACCCCCCTGAATCTAGTTCCTTCAATCACTTCAGCTTTCCTTCAGGGATATCCATACTCTAAATGGAGGGGATGCTATTTGGGCACCAAGAATAATTGCCAGCTAAATCATAGGTAATAGCTTGTTATCTTTCCAAATGTTTATATGGAAGAAGTTTTATAATAATGAATTTAGCTTTCTTTATATGGGAGCGATTACATTGGTTAATATATCTTTTTAAGTTATCCTGTGTAAAATTTGGACAGCTTCTCCCTAAGTTTCTACATGGGATAGAAACTATCAGAAAACTGTGTCACTAGAAGAGTTTAGTGGCAAATGTATTGGATTACCAGTAATGAGAGTTGGTTTTGTTAACTTGGGCAAGATACTTACCTTCTCCAAGCCCCTATTTCTTCATCTATAAAGTGAAGGAACTGGACTTTGATTTTGAATAATATTTAGCAGTCTATAAGGTCTAATCCAGCAATTAATATTTTTGATGATGTAAAATTCAATTTGATCTGTTCTTTTGCATCACCTCACATTGTCTAGTTGAATTTCTTTGCACAGAATACTAATAAATGTTACTGGATTACTATTAGACCAGGTTTCCAAAACTGTGTCCTGGCATTGCTTTCTTGAGATACCCACACTGACTCTGTATGACTCCACTCTTTCAGCAGTGCACTCAGGAACAAGCAGTACTCAGGCTGGTGAAGGATGAGGCTGGACATCGTCCTGAAATCAAATAGACTCGTCTAAATAGCCTACTTCTATTGGCAAACCAGCCCATGTCCATATATCGCAAACTAAAATAAAAATCCATTTCATTTCCTTCTCCAGCCTGAAGGCCTGAGACCAAATACATGTGGATGAATGAGAAAACAAAACAAAACAACAACAAAAGAATAATAGAACTATAATGAAAATGGCTTTTAAATAATTGCCTATTTTATGGCAGATGTTCTGTCAGATACTTTAAATATCTTTTTTTATTTACTATCTTAACAATTCAGTGAAGTAAGTATTATTCTTCCCATTTTACAGATGAAGACATGATCTCAGAGAAACTTGGTGACTTGTCAAAGGTCACACAACTAGTAAATGGCAGACTCAATTAGAACCCAGCTTAGTTTTCATGTTCTTTCCCCTATATCACCCTTTATCTCACATTCTAGATACTGACCAATAAATATGTATTATTAGGACACAAAAGCATAATGGCACAGACATTTGAGTAAAAAAAACCATTATTCCATATAAGTATGGCTCTTCTCTTCAGCACACCTACAGGTTGCCAAAGATTACTTAGCAGTCTCTAATTTCAACTCTTCCCTCTCCAGCTTATGTTTCTTGCTGGCAGAATAGTAAGATCTAGGAATAGAATCTCCTCAGTTGGGTGAATTTAAGCTGTTCCTCAGTGATGGTCACACTTAACATTACCAAAATGTACTCGAGTTGCTAGACAATTGTTTACCCTAAATCCTAACAAGAAAACAGTTTTTAATAAACTATTAGTACTTTTTTTGAGACAGAGACAAGGAATATAGTTACCTAAAGGCATTTTGTTTAACTGATTGCAGTTCCTGCATATTTAAAAGGAGGATGTTGATTGCTATAAGGTACTTCAGTTGGACTATAACTAGGATTTTCTCTGGCAAGAATTAATCTGGATCTAAGAGATAATGACTTCATGGCTGCCATATTCAGAATCATCTAGGAGCATAGAAAATAGGTGACAAGGTGAGAGGCTAGAAAAAATTAAAACTACCAGTGTTCAAAAACAAGAACAGAAAAGTCAGCAGAGGTAGGATAGGGCAAATAGATATTGGAAAATTGGAGTTAGGATGAGGATGAATGCTTCCAGATAATGGCACAGATAGCCAGAAATGTAGGAAAGAGCTTGTTCTAGGGTAGAAACTAAAACAACTCAGTAAAACTGAATATATTTTATAAGGCTTAGAATATATTTAGAATATATAAACTGGCAAACTCCAGTGACAATATTTCCAGATATCTTTGGATCTCAGTGCCATTTTAGCTCCTCAGAACAGAAACCATAGAGGCATATAAAGTCAGTTAGATTTAAGCATAAAAATACAATTAAAACTATGTATCCAAAGTTTTAATTATTATGATATCTCATATACCTTATAAACAAGAAACATAATGTACACTTGACTCTTGCCATCATTTTAAAAGATTATAAATTAGGTGCTAATCTTGTCACACATAAATATTACAATTAAGTTCCATTGTTCCTATTTATGCTTCTTGCATTAGTCCTTTGTCTTTCATGTCAGTAGTCATTCACTCATTGACCAAGTATTTATTTCTGGTACTTACTCCAAGATGAGCAGGAGTTTGAAGGTGAAGAAGTGGGGTATGAATGTCCAGGCAGAGGGAGGAGCATTTCCTAAGGCCTTGGGATAGAAAAAAAGATTATATTTGTTTTTATTTTTTTATCTTTATTGTTGAATGTATTACAGATGTTCCTCATTTTTCCCCCACTGACCCCCTCGTCCCCACTTTCGCCCCCCTCCTGCCTTGCCCCACACTGTTGTCTGTGTCCACTGGTTATGCATATATGCATACAAGTTCTTGATTTATTATTTCTTCCCACCTCCCAACCCCCTTCCCTTCGAGGTTTTTCAGTCTAGCAATCAGTTTGCCCTTCTTTTTTTTTTTTTTATCCTCACCCGAGGACATTTTTCCATTTTTTGTACAGATAGAGTGGGAGGGAGAGAGAGGAAGAGACAGAGAAAGAGAAACATCGATGTGAAAGGGACACATCAAGTGGCTGCCACTGCACGACCAACCAGGGCCGGGGACAAACTGCAACCGAAGCACGTGCCCTTAGTGGGAACCGAACCCGGGTCTCTCCGGACCGCAGGCCGATGCTCTAACCGCTGAGCCAAACCGGCCAGGGCTCATTTTGTACTTCTAAATCCCTTCACCTTTTTCACTCATTCCCCCAACCCCCCTCCCATCTAGCAACCAACGAAATGTTCTCTAGGTCTATGAGAATGTTTCTGTTCTGCTTGTTCAATTTGTTTGTAGATTCAATTGTTGATAGATACGTATTCATTGCCATTTTGTTTATTCATATTTTTTATCTTTTTCTTCAAGAAGACCCTTCAACATTTCATATAATAATGGTTTGGTGGTGATTAACTCCTTTAGCTTTCTCTTGTCTGGGAAACTCTTTATATGGCCATTGATTCTAAATGACAGCTTTGCAGGATAGAATAATGTTGGTTATAGGTTCTTGCTTTTCAGCACTCTGAATGTTTCTTGCCACTCCCTTCTGGCCTGCAAAGTTTCTTTTGAGAAATCAGCTGACAGCCTAATGGGAACTCCCTTGTAGGTAACTAACTGCTTTTCTCTTGCTGCTTTTAAGATTCTCTCTTTGTCTTGAATCTTTTGCATTTTGATGATGATGTGTCTTGGTGTGGGCCTCTTGGGGTTCATCTTGTTTGGGACTCTCTGTGCTTCCTGAAATTGTACATTTGTTTCATTCACCAAGTTAGGGAAGTTTTCTGCCATTATTGTTTCAAATAGGTTTTCGATTTCTTGTTCTCTCTCTTCTCCTTCTGGCACCCCCAAGATGCAAATGTTGGCATGCGTGAAGTTGTCCCAGAGGCTCCTTACACTATCCTCATTTTTTTGGATTCTTTTTTCTTTTTGCTGTTCTTTTTGGGTGTTTTTTGCTTCCTTATATTCCAAATCAATGGTTTGCTTTTGGGCTTTACCTACTCTACTATTGAATCTGTATAAATTATTCTTTATTTCAGTTAGTGCCTCCTTCATTTCTGACTGGTCCTTTTTTTATGCTCTTGAGGCCCTCACTAAGTTCGCTGAGGTTCTCACTGAGTTCATTGAGCATCCTTATAAGCAGTGTTTTGAACTCAGCATCTGTTAGGTTGCTTATCTCCCTTTCGCTTAGTTCTTTTATTGGGGTTTTGTTCTGTTCTTTCATTTGGGACCTGTTTCTTTGTATCCTCATTTTGGCTGCCTCCCTGTGTTTGTTTCTATGTATTACTTAATGAGAGGTATGGGGCTATCTGAGACCAGATGCTGCTTGTTTGAAAGAATTTAGGAAAACCTGAAGCAGGATCCAAGACAGGCCAATCCTATGGTTAAGCAACTGGCAACAGCTTGGGTGGGCCTGAAGCTGGGTGGGGTGGGGCCTCAGGGAATCACCAGGGCAGGGCAAGCAGTGTGAGCCAGGTTGCTAGAGTCCCAGATATGGCGGCTGTCTGCCGCCCCAGGGAAGGGCTCACCAAAGGAACAAAGGCCTCTGACAGCACGTCTGTACAGGAGAAAGCCCCCTTTCCAGCCCTTGCTCCAATGCCAAACAGCTTAGTTATTCCCTGTATGTCTCTGGCTTCCCTCGAGCTGCCTCCCCTCCAAGCTTAGAGGGAGTGAGTCCGATAAGTCCGTGCGCGGGCCCTTTAATAGGAGCTGCCTGGGGGCTCCAGCAGCCTCAGCCTTCCTGAGCCTCAGTTCCTGCTGGTTTTTCCAGTCAGAAGTTATGGGGACTTCTCTTCCTGGCACTGGAACCTTGAGCGGGGCACCTGGTGTGGGACGGGGACCCCTCAGTCCTCCGGGAGGACCTTCCCAGCTGAGATATCTTCCTAATTTGTATCTGCCACCTGTTGTCCCTTCACCCCTCCACCCCTCCTACCAGTCTCGATGGAGCTTCTTTAATTTCATAGTTGTAGGACTTCCATTCAGCTTGATTTTAGGTGGTTTTGAATGATGGTTGTTCTGTAGTTTAGTTGTAACTTTGATGTGGTTGTGGGAGGGCGTGATACCACGTTTACCTATGCCGCCATCTTGACCAAAAGTCATTATATTTTATTTCTAAATTCTAATAGATTAAAAAAAATCCTTATGGTCTTTTTTCTTTTAGTTTCTTCTATATGGTTTATACCCCTTCCTTCATTACTTTGAACATTTTGTTTTATTTTATATATATATATATTTTTTTAATCCTCACCTGAGGACATTTTTCGATATTTTGTTCAGCTAGAGTCGGAGGGAGAGAAAGAGAGAAAAACATCAACGTGAAAGGGACACATCGAGTGACTGCCACCCGCATGACCCAACCAGGGCCAGGAACAAACTGCAACCGAGGTACGTGCCCTTAGCAGGAATCAAACCCGGGTCTCTCTGGACCGCCGGCCGATGCTCTAAACGCTGAGCCAAACTGGCCAGGGCTTTATCTTTTGTTTTTAATCCTCACCTGAGGACATATATATTTTTTTCTATTTGTCTTCAGATAGAGTGGGAGGGAGGGAGAGAGGGAGGGAGGGAGGAAGTGGGGGGGGGAGAGAGGGAGGGAGAGAGAGAGAGAGAAACTTGGATGCAAAAGAGACGTCGACTGGTTGCTTCCTGTACAAGGCTGACCAGGTCCTGGGACAAACTGCAACCGAGGTACTTGCCCTTGACCGGAATTGAACCCGTGACTCATCGGTCCACAGGCTGATGCTCCAACTGCTGAGCCAAACCAGCCAGGACTACTTTGAACATTTTAAACATACTTTGCAAACATTTTGTTCACTTTCAAGCTTTGGCTCCTAATTCTTTCATCTGATGACTCTCATGCATAGTTGTTTTTTTATGGTATGATTTATAAGTTTTGACAATGAACTAGTCATGAGTTTTTGGTGGGAATGTAGTCTACAGGGTTTCAACTTGAGCAAAAAAAAAAATGGATTCCTTTTTAGGTTGATTTCTCAGCTTCTGGTCCCTTCACACAGCAATGTGACTTTAGACTCTCCTTCTGACAACATTACAGACCTGGGTTATTTATTTCCTGCAAGTGACATTTTCTCATTTGTGAGAAAATATACTATAAAAATCTTCCTGGGTTTTTTTTGTTGTTGTTGTTGTTTTTTATCTGGGCTGATGGGTAGAGTTCCCTTAGCATTCATTTCAAAGCCAGCATAACCCTCTGTGACTCTCAGATTTATCAAAATATGTCAGTTCAAGCTTTCCTCCCAGTGCCTGGAGCCTGGACCCTCCTTCCACACCAGTTGTTAGAACCAGTTCCAGCTTTTAAGGCCTATATCTGGTTGCAACAATTCCATGCACTATTTGGGCACTGGAGTCTGCTTAGCACTCTGACTTGGAGTTCTCCCTTTCATTCTAATACTTGGGGGACTCTCTTGGTTTCAAGCTTAGCTACATACTTAAAGAAGTTTTAGCCATATTTCATTCTGGGTTTAGAACAGAAGAGTGAAGAGTTCTTTTGTATCAGTTCATGTTAAACATGGCAAATTTGAGAAACTATTTTAAAAATGTATCCATTCATCCAAAATATATTTATAAAGCACCTATGGCATTCTAAGTATTACAGGAATGAAGGGTAAAAGCGAGGGAACAGGGACATAAGATAAGGCTGAAGAGTGAGAGGAAGTTATGCAAATCAAGTTAAGAATCTGAATTTTTCTTCAGAGCAAATTGACAGCTATTGAAACACTTTAATATAAGTTTGTGCTTTTGCAAAGGAGAGTGAAGACTGGAATGGAGTGCGTAAAGAGTAGATGTGGGGTAAGTGTGCAGTAGTCCAGTGGGTGATGAAGGTGGCTAAGAGATATTCAGGCAATTAATTTAATAATACTTACTTATGGACTTAACTGGGGAAGGGATAGAGATGAGTCAGACATCACTCCCAGATGCTTGGCTGAGTATCTGAGTGGTTGGTCAGAGCATTTAATGAGATAGAGAGCATAATGAGAATGACCAAATTTGACAGTAAATATGTCAGGTTCAGTTTGGGGCATGTTGAGTTTAAGGCATCAGACAGCCCAGTGTAGATATCAAGTAAATAGTGAGCTATTTGGGTTGGGGACTCAGAGCATAAGTCAGAGCTGTAAATAAAAAGAAAATGGAATTTTTGGAAATAGATGAGATTTCCTAAAGAGAGAGGGTAGGGTACAAAAAGGTTTGTGATGTGCCTTGAGAAATTCCATCACTTAATAAGTTGGGCAGAGCCCTGGCCAATGTAGTTTAGTGGTAAGAGCATCAAACTTCAGTGGGTGGGTTCAATTTCTGGTCAGGGGCACATACCAGGGTTGCAGGTTCAATCCTGGCCCCAGTTGGGGTGCGTATGGGAGGCAGGCAATCAATCAATGTGTTTCTCTCACGTTGATGTTTCTCTCTCTATCCCTCCCTCCTTTCCTCCCCCCCTCCTTTCCTCCCTCCCTCTGAAATTAAATGGAAAAAATATCCTCAGGTGAGGACTAACAAAAAATAAATAAATAAAATAAGTTGGGCAGAATTTTTTTTAAAAATCACCAAGAAGTGAACCGCTGGAGAAGAGCTGGAGGAAAGTATTATATTAAGAATGATGTTTTCCCCTCTAAGAAGGTTGGGACTATTCATTTGCTGATGGGAAGGACATCAAAGAGAGAGACTGAAATTACTATAGAGGGGAAGGGCAAATACTAACATGAAGTTTCTGAGAAGTTGGAAGAGGACATGGATTAAAGAACGAGGTAGAATTGGCTTTTGACAGGGGTTGACAACTTTGTAATAAGAGAGAAGAAAGACAGAATGGGTACAGATGCAGATAGATTTGTAAAGTTGGTTTTTAAAAGGTTGTGGTAGTTATTTTATGATAGTTTTATTTTCTCTGTAAAGTAGAAGGTGAGTTCATCTGTTCCATGTAACAGGGTAGGCAGGAGGACAGAGGTTTGAGGAGATGAGAGTTTAAGATTGAACTGACTATAAAGACACAATGGGCTTTCCAGACAATGGTACCAGCTCAGAAATCTCCACTTCATATAATATTTCTTTTCTTTCTTTTTCTTTTTTTTATCCTTACCCAAGGACTTTTTTGCCTTTATCTTCAGATAGAGTGGGAGGGAGGAGGGGGGAGAGAGAGAGAAACATCAACATGAGAGAGACACATCAACTGGCTGCCACCCACATGACCCCAACCGGGGTGGGGACAAACTGCAACTGAGGTACATGCCCTTAGTGGGAACCAAAACCGGACTCTTTGGTCTGCAGGCTGATGCTCTGACTGCTGAGCCAAACTGGCCATGGCCATATGATATTTCCTTACCAGTGTTCTTCAGCCTGGTGTAAACACAGAGAAGGTGGATCATTGGATTCATCCAGCTTGGGCTTTGCCAGGTTTGAGGCTTTGACAGACAGGTGCTACAAAAAGACAATGAAACAAGCAAGGTAAGTTAGAATATAGACAGAAAGTGGCTAAGATGATGGCGTACGGAATGTATACTGGGTAAGGAAGGAAATGAAATACAGGAAGGAGATGACGTGAGGAAAATAGAATGATGTTAGGGTCTGAATGTTTGTGTCACACCAAAATCTGTATATTGAAATCCTAACCCCCAAAGATAATGGTATTAGGAGGTTGGGCCTTTGGGAAGTGCTTAAGTCATAAGTGTGGAATCCTCATGAATGAGATTAGAGCCCTTACAAAGAGGCTCCAGAGAGATCCCTAGCCCCTTCCATCATGTGAGGATACAGGGAGAAGGTACTGAACATGAACCTGGAAGAGAGGGCTCTCACCCAACAGGACTGGCACCCTGATCTCAAACTTCTAGCCTCCAGAACTATGAGAAATAAATTTCTGTCATTTATAACTACCCAGTCTGTGTATTTTGTTACAGCAACCCTAACAGACTATGACATATGGTCAATGAACTGAAAGTTGCAAGTGAAGTAGTCATAGATCCAAGTAAGCAAACAAAAAAGATCAGAGTCGCCCTGGCCAGTTTGGCTCAGCGGTTAGAGCATCCGCCTGCGGTCCGGAGAGACCCGGGTTCGGTTCCCGCTAAGGGCACGTACCTCGGTTGCAGTTTGTTCCCGGCCCTGGTTGGTCGTGCGGTGGCAGCCACTCGATGTGTCCCTTTCACATCGATGTTTCCCTCTCTCTCTCTTCCTCTCTCTCCCTCCCGCTCTGTCTGTACAAAAAATGGAAAAAATGTCCTTGGGTGAGGATTAAAAAAAAAAAAAAAAAAAGATCAGAGTCTATATAAACTAAGAATGTGAAGTTTGTAGAAGTGGTTTCAAAGGTGGAACACTTTCCAGTGATGAGTTCCAGAGTTTGACTCTAGGAATGGTAGCTGTATTAGTCAGGTTAATATAAGCTATTCTTCATTGACTCCAATCTCAGATTTATTACTCATGCTGTTTTATTTTGAAATGCTGCCATTTCAGCACATAGCTTCCAGGTTTCTATTGCAGGGGATGAGAAGATTGTAATGAGTCCTTAAGTGCTTTGGTCTGGAGGCAAAACATATCACTTCAATTCACAATCCTTTGTCCAGAAGTGCTCATATGGCCCTGTCTATTTGCAAAGGGGCTGGACAATTTGAAGAAGCATGTGGTATTCAGTGAGCTATAAATGTCTCTTCACAGCAACTGAGATGGATGAAGGAGAATATGATTTAAAATAAGGTAATTATGGAATTTCATTCTTGGTGATTGCCAGAATTGTGGTAGAGAAGAAAACTAACTGAACGGGGCGCTACAGCCTTTAGTGAAAGGGCAAGACAGCTGAAAAGTTGTTAGATGAGAGCAATGAGAAGGAAGAGAGTTGGGAGGTGAGTCTTAAAGAAGATTTTGCCCTGGGTGGAGAAGCGAGTGCCCAGGGAAATCTGTCATTTGGGCAGTAGGAATCCAACTACTCCACTAGACTTAGTGGAAACCAGAATTATTGCCCAATAAGGTCTTGTGGGGACATCAGAATGACCATAGAGTTGGTCTTCACAAATGCAGAACATTGTTTGGGTTATAGAACATTATTTGAATATTGATATTTTTCCTGGCATTTCTTTCTTCTTTTTGTGTTTGTCCCTGTAAATAGCCAATTTGTGCTCATTGGCTCAGGATAAGAATTGTAGCAAAGTGAAAAGTAAAAGGCCTAAAGTGCTACTCCTAAATTCCAGTCTACAAATAGCCTAGGCCACAAAAAAGAATAGAAAGATGTGGTAGGCAGAAAAATGGTCCCCCACAGATGTCCATGTCCTAACCCCTGGAACCTGTGAATATGTTAGGTTAAATGGCAAGGGGGGATTATATTGCAGATGGACAACAGATTTACAGAGACTGCTTAATAAGCTCCCCTAATTACATAAGGTCAAATCCCTATATGAAATACATTTGAATATGATATAATACAAGATAATTTATATATACCCTGTTCCTCTGAACCCTGGAGTTTCCATTATATTTGTTTCTATTACCAAATTTTCTTTTCAATTTCTGTGATTTTTAGAAATTATATTTAGTATCTTTCATGGATTATTATCCTGGCCATTTATATTTTTTTGGACTAGCAGAATCTGAATAACTCATTTTCAGGTTATGTAATCATTTGTTTGCTACTTAAAGCTATCTGTAAAATGCCTCTCCCTACCTCTCCTTTAACACCCTCTCAAAAGCCTTGAAAGGATCATTCAAAATACATAACTTGGATATAATGCTAATAAGGAACCAGTGATCTATGAATAAATTATGAATAGTGACAGAAGGCGAGACAATGTTTGTGATTCAGCTCAATCCAATAGATGTTGTTGGCAAGAAAACATCCTGCAATCAATCCTTTGACTGCTGGAGAAGATGGTACAAAATTAAAAATAAAGTAATCATGCACATACAGCCAAAAATATAAGAACAAACACTTGCAAACTTAGAAACTCACTCCTCTGGTCCCTTAAAAAAAAAACTTAGGCTGCATGGAAAGGGAGGGGATTAGATAGCCTGAAAAACCTGCGTTTGAATCATGGTTCTGGCATTCCATGGCTCTGTAACTTCGAACCAATGCTTTAGCTTTTCAGAAACTCAATTTAATTATCTACAAAAAAGTCAGTAATAGCACCAACCTCACAGGATTGCTGAAAAGATTAGAAATAATATATAAAACTTCTGGCACATAAAAGCACTAGGGAAATGCTACTATTACTATTAAACACCTCAAATGGCACATGTATGCCTTTTGTTAGTACTTAAAAAAATATATATATCTCTCTGAAAAAGATGTCCTGGAAAATCCCTACAGGTGCAGATATACTTTCCAGTTGCTTACACCCCTCATCTTACTTCCCGGTCGAGGGAAGATGGAAGCTCTTGGCAAGATAATGGGGGCCTCAGACAGAGCAAGGCCCTAGTCTTTAATCAGAGAGCTGATGCTTTAGGAGCTGCACCAAGTGCTCAGTCACAAAGACCTGGGAGGACAAAAAGAGGGCAGGCGCTTCCTGGCCCATTTTGGAGCTGAGTGGGTGAGTGGATTGCTTGCCTTTATGACTGCCTCCGACCCCTTTTCCACCTTCTTCTCTAGGTTCCACAGTCAGGCTACCAAGCCAGGGAAGTCCCAAAGTGAAAAAATACTGACCACTGTGTTTGGAATCTATTAACAACATTTTAACAATTATACACAGGGCCAAATTTGACCTTGAAATTATAGGACAGGTATCCCCAAAAGACTGAATGAAAATGAAGAGATCACATTAATAAAAATGACGCCAAAATGAAATGAAATTATGAAGAAATAAAGACATGAAAACAAAACATTACCCTACTACAGGTACTAGTTTTAAAAATTGGGGAGCTAAGAGTGTAAATCCTTACTTCTATAACCTTAAAAGAAACTCTATTTTCCCCTACCTATGTTATAAGGCTTCCAAAAATATTTATTTTCTTATTATTGCCACATGTATTATTATTTTTTTCTATTATACTTATTTTTTATTTTTATTTATTATTTATTTTTTAACTTTATTTTTGTTACAGATGTTTCTACTTTTTTACCCCATTGGCACCCTCCTCCCCATCCCCTCCTGCCCCGTCCCCAGCTTGTTGTCCATGTCCATTGGTTATGCATACATGCATATGAGTTCTGTGGTTTACCTCTTCCCTCCCCCCCCACCCCCTCATCTGAGGGTTGTCAGTCTGTACCTTACTTTCATGTTTCTGGGTCGACCGTATTCCTCAGATTGTTATGTTCATTATATTCCTTATATAAGTGAGATCATGTGGTATTTGTCTTTTTCTGCTTGGTTTGTTTCACTTAAGATAATACTTTCCAGGTCCCTCCAGGTCATCTCAAAGGGTAAGAGATCTTTCTTTCTTACAGCTGCATAGTACTCCATTGTGTATATGTACCACTGCTTTTTTATCCATTCGTCTACTGATGGACACTTGGGCTGTTTCCAGATCTTAGCTATTGTAAATAGTGCTGCTACGAACATGGAGGTACATATATTCTTCCTGATTGGTGTTTCAGGCTTCTTAGGGTATATTCCTAGAAGCAGGATCACTGGGTCAAATGGAAGTTCAATTTTTAATTTTTTGAGGTAACACCATATTGTTTTCCATAGTGGATGCACCAGTCTGCATTCCCACCAGCAGTGTACTAGATTCCCCTTTTCTCCACACCCTCGCCGACACTTGTTGTTTGATGATTTGTTGATGGCGGCCATTCTGACAGGTGTGAGGTGATACCTCATTGTTGTTTTAATTTGCATCTCTCTGATGATTAGTGATGTTGAGCATTTCTTCATGTCTCTTGGCCATTTGTATGTCCTGTTTGGTGAGGTGTCTATTCAGCTCCTCTGCCCATTTTTTAATTGGGTTCTTTGTCTTCCTTTTGTTGAGTTGTACGAGTACTCCATATATTTTGGAAATTAACTCCTTATCTGATGTATCATTGGCAATGATGTTCTTCATACAGTGGGTTGCCCTTCCATTTTGATGATTGTTTCTTTTGCTGTGAAGAAGCTTTTGAGTTTGATGTAGTCCCATGTGTTCATTTTCTCCTTTGTTTCTGTTGCCTTAGGTGATGTATCAGTGAAAATTCTGCTCTGTATGATGTCCGAAATTTGGATACCTATGTTTTCATCTACAATTTTTATGGATTCACGGGTCACATTTAAGTCTTTTATACATTTTGAGTTTATTTTTGTGTATGGTGTAAGTTGATAGTGTAGTTTCAGTTTTTTGCATGTAGCTGTCCAATTTTCCCAATCCCATTTATTAAAGAGGCTGTCTTTACTCCTCTGTATGCTCTTGCCACGTTTGTCAAATATTAATTGAGCATATTGCCTTGGGTCCAATTCTGGGTTCTCTGTTCTGTTCCACTGGTCTATCTATATGCCTGTTCTTGTGCCAGTACCAGGCTGTTTTGATTACAG